AAACGATAAGCCAATGAATTATAATGTATATTGATGCTGAGTGGTAGGACGCATGGCAACGATAGAATCATACTTGCCATGACTCATGTCACTAGTGCCATCTGGTCGGGCAACACGTCTTTGTATACACACAAACACTCATGGTGTGTATGTGTGTGTTTGCGTGTGTGTGTTTGTTTGCGTGTGTGTGTGTGTGTGTGTTTGCGTGTGTGTGTGTGTGTGTGTGTGTGTGTGTGTGTGTGTGTGTGTGTGTGTGTGTGTGTGTGTGTGTGTGTGTGTGTGTGTGTGTGTTTAAATGTTTTTATGCGTGTATATTTATATGCGCTTCCGTGCGTGCATACGTGTGTGCGTACATGATACAGGCCTGTGTGTACGCGACTGCCTGAGCGTGCCTTCGTGCCTGCCGTATCTGAATTGACCCTCTGATTAATCTGTGGACGGATATACCAGAGCAAATCCCGGATTACTGATACGCTCTCTACTGAGTCACACTCCCTGACAGACTCTTCATACGAGGCACTTCCTTCACATTCCTAAGGCCGTGCACACTTCACAGCATGCTTGCCTTCCAAAGGCGATTACTTGCGGCCGTCTCCCTTTTCCGATTCAGTGTGGTGGTATTTCGGGTAAACGGGCGAGGGGTATTTGCGTGAAGAGAGACGATTTCGTGTTACGCTGTTTTGTTTAATGACTTTGTTCGTTTTATTTTTGTGTATTGCTGTCGCTACTTTGTTACAGATTATATGAAAACGATGATAGCGACTGATTTTGTTAGTAATAATGATTACTGATATTCTCATTATTATCCATAGATTTTCACTGCCTTTACTATTGTCATCATCAACACAATCGCCATCATCAATATCATCATCACCTCCATCATTATCATCATCATCACCAATATCATCATCATCATCATCATCATCATTCTCATCATCATCCCATTATTATTATCATCATCATCATCATCATCATCATCACTATCATCACCACCATCGTCATCATCACCCTCACCAACATCGCCACTGTTATCATCGTTATCATCACTTCATTGTCATCGTCAGCGTTATTTATATGTTTGAGTAAGTGTTTTCACTTCCTACGGCTGCAAAAAGTTTCTGTCTTATTTAACTAAACTCAACAAGGCACTTAACCTTGTAACTTGAGAACTATAAATCAAGTTTTTTGTATATATTTTTTGTGATTTTCATGAATTGCAATGGGCTGGGTCTCATTCTACTTTGTTTTTATTTACTGTCGAAAGTAAAAGAAATAATAGAGATATGTGATAACAAAGAGCATTACGTATATTACTTATATAATATATTTTTTTCTGTAACGAACTCCATTTTCTGTGATATTAGCCATCCGCTGCAGCCGCCTTTCGTGTTGCAAAAACAGTAACGGTGAATTTTACACAAGCGACATCCTCTTCCTCTCTGTCTGCAGAACTCACGAGCATTTGTCACAGACCACTTGACCTTAGATACACCTTAGCCGTGTTAATAAGGTCAGCTGGCACTAATAAGGTCAGCTGGCACTCTTATCTTGGGCGTGAATGACAGCTTTAACACATAGACGGGGCTCTGTGCCGGCCGGAGGAGCCATGACATGAGAGACAAGGAAGGGAAGTAGTGAGGGAGTGGGAAGGGAGGAAGGGGTAAGGGATACGGAGGAGTGGGAAGGGAGGAAGGGGGTGAGGGGCAGGGAGCAGAGGGAAAGGGGGAAGGGGGTGAGAGGCAGAGAGGAGAGGGAAGGGAGGAAAAGGGTGAGAGGCAGGGAGAAGAGGGAAGGGAGGAAAGAGGTGAGAAGTAGAGAGGAGAGTGAAGTGAGAGAGTGAGAGACAAGGAAGAAGGCGGTGAGAGGCAGGGAGAAGAGGGAAGGGAGGAATGATCATCATCATCATCATCATCATCATCATCATCATCATCATCATCATCATCATCATCATCATCATCATCATCATCATCATCATCATCATCATCATCATCATCATCATCATCATCATCATCATCATCATCATCATCATCATCATCATCATCATCATCATCATCATCATCATCATCATCATCATCATCATCATCATCATCATCATCATCATCATCATCATCATCATCATCATCATCATCATCATCATCATCATCATCATCATCATCATCATCATCATCATCATCATCATCATCATCATCATCATCATCATCATCATCATCATCATCATCATCATCATCATCATCATCATCATCATCATCATCATCATCATCATCATCATCATCATCATCATCATCATCATCATCATCATCATCATCATCATCATCATCATCATCATCATCATCATCATCATCATCATCATCATCATCATCATCATCATCATCATCATCATCATCATCATCATCATCATCATCATCATCATCATCATCATCATCATCATCATCATCATCATCATCATCATCATCATCATCATCATCATCATCATCATCATCATCATCATCATCATCATCAT